GTATTAATATGGAAAGGGAAGGAGGGTGAGGACCAGTGGATGGACCAAGCTGCCTGTGTTGATGGTGGGAGTATATGGATAGAATGGAAGAAGCATGTGTCTGATCTGGAGAAGGGAAGTGAGGACTCGTCAAGGGAGGAGGGAAGTGGCCAGGGAAGTATGGAGGTACAACAGCAGGTGGATCTCTCCCTCTTTCTAGCTCTCGCTCTTGCTCTCTATCTATCTATCTATCTATCTCTCTTGTTCTCTCTCCCACTCTCTCTCTCTCTTTTCTCTCTCCTCTCTCTCTCTTTTCTCTCTCTCAATTCTCTTCTTTCTATCTTGCTCTAACCCAAATCACAATCAACCACAATAGATCTATCATTACTAAATTTACACTTAATAAATAAAAATTAGATCTACTCAAATGATTACAAGATTACCTCTTGCATATGTCTAGATTCACTACCAAAATCATACAATAACATATTACAAACTCTTGCAAATGCTCTAGTAAGAACAAATAATCACAAGAATATATAATAACATAACAACTTTCAAATCTCACGCTTTACCTTTCTTCGACTCACACGAAAACTAGGGCAGCCGGTTGTGAGATCGACGGCGGCAAGACAGCAGAGCTTGATCGAGCGAGAGGCGGGCCGGTGGTGGGGTCGGCGGTCGGAGAGAGGTCGTCGGCGGCAAGACAGTGCGCTCAATCGAGCAGAGGCGGGCGGAGGCGACGGCAGAGCTCGTCCGAAGTGAGAGAAGGAAAGAATATAAATGAAATGCAAGGCTCGGGCCTATTAATTTTAGGGCATTTACTGGGGATCTTCCGGCGGCCACGACCGCCGGTACTGGGATCACTTATCAACGGCGGTCAAAGCCGCCGGTTAACCGTCGGTAATATTGATAGCCGGCGGTTTATCCGGCGGTTACATGACCGTCGTTATTACCGGCGGCTTAACATTACAAAACCCCCGGTTAGACGGCCGGTAATAGCCGGCGGCCAAACCGCCGGCCAAACCGCCGTTCTTACCGGTGGTCCTATAACCACCGGTCATGACCGCCGGTAATTGACGTTTTTCCTGTAGTGTAGGTCAACAAGATTCTATACATTTTCTAGGCTACTATCTTCTCATAATCTCAAATGAACTCATATCAATAAATCTATTGAAAAATAAATTTTAAGAAAACTTAGCCATAAGCAATATCAATTGCACAACATAATGAATCTATTGACGTATGGTCTTTGATCAAACAACATGACAGTCATAGCTAGAGCCTATGCAATCCCCAAATGGATTAAAACCTTTAAGTAAAGAATCATAGGATATACTTGATAGAACAAAAAGCCCTTTATTAGCTAATGCTGACTCGAATCTATCACCTTAGGAAAATATCAACCCTAAGTCAATAAGGTACCCTTGAATGAAGCAACCAATCGTTGCCAACAATGATCATTCGATCATGTTGAGTCGATTACCTCCTCTTACTAAGTAGACTATAGACCATGATAGCCTAGGACGATAGAACTATGTGATCTTGATCAAGCTCGTTGTCATTCCCCCCAACCAAAATGTATGTTGGTAAATTTCAAACCCGAAAATTGCTACTATTATACACCGAGTAATTAGTGTCTATAACGACTAACCTTAATGGAAAATGCGCTCATCACTGCAAGAGGTATTTAATCATAGGAGCTTGCACCTATGGAACAACTAGAATAAGATTATAAAATCATCAAAAAAATAAGGGTGAATATATGAATAGTGTGTTATCTTCAATTTGTCTTCCGAAAGATTTTCACGTAATTAAGATGTCATGTCCAATCAATAAAACATACTAAAAAAAGAAGTTACTTTGTTCTTTCTAATTATCTTGATCCACCTAGAAGTCATATTCATCAGAGATCTACACATGAATCAAAAGGTTAACTAAAACCCAAGACTGAATCTAAATCCATCCTGAACCTACATAAGAGTTAGTGAACGAATCAAAATTTATTTCGAAACTGAGTTTGAAATTTTAATTTAACTTAAATTCTAAATTACCTCATACCAATTGTTAAGGGTAAGTTCGCTAGATTCCTTTTATACACTATACCATATTAAGTGAGTACTGACTTTATATTTAGTTTTCGATTCTTTGAATTACCAATTTATAAGAAGGTTTTTGTCAAGTATATTAAATTACATAATCAAGCTCACAGTTTATATTCGAAACAATTTTTCAACTCATTCTATCACATAAGCATGAAACATATTATGCCACATTCTTCATTGGTTATGAACATAAATTGCATGCAAACTAAAAAATGGAATTTGATATGCATTATGAAAGTTTTACATTTATGATGATTGGTCATATTAGTGATTTCCGTTGCAAGAGGCATAAAGGATTAAATTATATCTATCATGTTTGCTAACTAAACTACACTTACAAGACATTCCCTAGCACCTCTGGTACCTAACACCCTGAACCAAACAAAATTACTAGATAGATAGACAAGGACCTAATGCTTATATACTTGATTTTCAGCCTAACATGAAAATTAATCCTACTTAAAATACGAAAGTTTTATTAACCTCTAGAGGAACATTCAAGCATCCATTGTTTCCAATTTGTATTTCCAACTTCTACTGCAACATTAGCAATGTATATTTTATCTTACCAATCAGCATGGGATTAATCACATTAAGATCAATAGCGCTATTATTACTCCATCTGGTGCTACTTTATATTTGGTTCATTGAAATGGATGGCCACCGTCAAATAATATTACGATGGTGCATGATTTTCTTGCCCATCTACCACTTTGTTCTAGAGGAGAACTAAACATGCATCCTCCAATGGGTAGTTCTTCTCAACTCAAAAAAGTTGATGATGTGAATAAAGGCATTCATCATCACCATCATTATCCCGTTGGATACCAAAATTAGGAGCTACTATCTTTTTTATTTAAGTCATGGAAATTATTATTGGTAATTATTCATTTTATTAGGAGTCTCAATAAATAACCTGACACGGACTTGGCTTCAAAATATTGAATTTGGGTTGGCCAAATTACTCTTGGGGTTGAGTTCGGGCCTAAATTACAGAATCATTTATTATTAAAAGATATCACTTCTTATATTCAATTTTAAACTATTTGAATTTTCCCTCTTCAATTTTTTCGTTAAATAGACATCTCATATATTGTCTCATATTCTCCGCTAAGTTCACAATAAGCTATTATTTGGAAAAGACGGCGAGGTTCTTTGCTTCAACTCCTAAAGTGAAATGGAGCAACATGTGTAGTACTTCATGCTAAACATTGATGTTAAAAACTTGAAAGTAAGAAATCAAGTCCAAATTGACCCGATTACCATTCATATACACACACACATACACAATTAGTTAAAATAGGTCATATTCAAGTTAATTGAGTCATATTGATTTAAAATATTATATGATATGTATAATAAACAATTTATATGGGTCGAGTTTTAGTTAGGCAGGCTCAAACAGAGTCGGATTCAATTCAAATATTTTGAACCATATAATAAACGGGTTAAGTGCGGGTCAACTATGAGTCACACTTAAACCCAACCCATCAACCGGAATTCACCCCTACATTTTATTTATAGGACTATTAAGACAATGGTCCAACTCAGACTATTTAAATAAGGAGCAATTAGATCCATCCTCTTTTAGATATAATTGATTATTTAAATACAAATTTGTCCCCCTTTTGAATTTTTGGTGAACTTTTGAGGCTTCTATGGACTTAATGATGCTCCCCACCTCACAGAGATTCAGCGAGCAAATGTGAAATATCTAGAGTTCCTATCCCCTAGTTAAACTTTCTTCATATAAGCTCTCTAGCCCACCCTTCTCTGATTTCTTATGAATTTATACCCACCATCCACCCTTTTCCATGCAAAGCAACCCAAAAGCCCATTGCCTCCATTCTTCCCAGGGACTCTGTTAGTAACAGTAGGCACAAACCTGTGAATAAACCAGTGGAAAATGCAAAAAAATAGGGACAGGAAGGCTCAGAAAGTACTAAACTTAAAACTTTAAGAACCTACAGGAATAACAAAAAGGACAATATTAAAAAAAAAACTTCTAGACCTCAATCTTATTTAGAATGTCCCATCTATCATGAGCATGAGTAACAATCCACAGAAATTAAATACAAACTACAACTGACACATGTAGCATATCAAAATTCTGGAAAATCATACAAACTAGATGGCAGATCTTGAGCTTTGCATCAACTAAGCTTTCTTAATTCTCATGGCCCTTCTTTAGCCTTCTTTTTTACAGACATGCACCATCAAATATAAATATGGGCATGGAGCGCTAACATGACACAATTTTTGGAAAAAAAAAATGACTGGTAAATGTAATTTTGTGTCTGAGCATAATAACTAGCAGTGCATGTACATGAAAAGCACATTTCATTGTTCTGATTGCAAGCAGTGGCATGATCATTCCATGCCCAATGGTTGTTTTTAAAGAGTCATAAGACAATTTAGAAAAACAAAGAGACAGACCAAATGGTTCAACACAACCAAATTTCTAGTATAGTTTCTAACAAGTATCTATATATTCTTAGGCATTCAAGAATCTAAATAACTAATATGGTAGCCAACAGGCGCAGTATCAAAGGACAGTAAAGTAATATCCCCATTTCCCCGAGATATACCCAGCACTTTAATGACATGAACCAAAAGAATAAGCATTCTAACCGGTCAAATCTCACAATACAATGAAAGTTCTGAATGGACAAATTTCCAGTCTTATGCTGACTATCAACATGGACTTGTCTGTTTGTAAAAGAGACAAAACCATCTTAATATTTAGCTAAAGGTGGGAAATAAGCACTCAAAACACTTACGGAGAACAATATGTGCTAGCAACAGCACACATGGTTATATTATTAATTATTTTAGCATAACAAGAATCTCTCCTATCCTAAAAGCAGGAAATTGTAAGACATTGAAGTCGAAGTATAAAATGAACAGTAAAATTACCTCATACATAGATAAGAACAGCTGGTATTTTTTCATGACCTCTGTCATATCTGCTTTTATTTTCTTGTTTGAAGAAGAAAGAGCAGCGGTGACATCCTCAGGTGAGTAACCTATACCACTTCGTACAACCTAAAAGGAAAATATAGCTTCTTATTTTGAATACTCATCCATCAGAGGAGCAATTACAAAAAGCAATTTACCATGTTTAGACCTGAACTCACATTGTGATCAATGAAGACCTCAGATATGTAACTACCATCATCAACATAAACGAGGAGTTCATAGGTACTCCGATGCTTGAACTGGAACCTCTTCACACCAGTCAAAATACACTGTAAATATTTTAATATTAGAGAATCTTAACAGCAAGCAATATAACTCGTATTTCTACAACTATGTAATCTTTCACCATCCAAAACAAACATAAAATATCAAGATATTTTTTCTCAACGAGAAAACTCTTAAGTTTGTTGCACAATAGATCTTTACAATTTGTATTCTAAAAAGTTATAAAGAAAGAAAACCAAGAGAACAAGGGAAGAGAATTCTTCTAATTTTCAAAGAGATGAAAAAGTTGTGGCAAAACTCAAGATGCTGCAAAGATTTCAAGGTTTAACTACAATTCAAATGTGAAAAATTTTAAAGTTGGTCCAGAAGATGCTTCATATTACACTTACAGATGGGAAAATTTCATTTAGGAAGCGTCCATAACAGATGGGAACATTACATTACGGCAATGTCAAAATACTGTCATGAGACAATTAAAACAAACATCCAAAACGTAGTTCAGGAAAAAGAATAAGATACTCTTTGCACTCAAAGATAAGATTAAAAATAAATAAATCTTAAAATATATAGTATCATTGAGTTCATTTCTTCCTTCATGGATTCGCTCTTCTCCGGCTTCCCTTTGTTTCTCTTTTTTCAAGTTTACTAACTGGATAGCCAATCAGACAAGAATGTGGACAAGAATGAAAAGAACGATATTTTTAATGTCCTTGTTCCAGCACATCGAAGAGAGAAGGTTGCAGTGAATAAGAGCAAAACCAGCTCTGCATTATAACTGATATTATTGAGAAGCTAGGGATAAATGTATAAATCAATTAGACATACTAAAAATTGATCACTCTCAAAATGTTTAAGAGTTAAAATAGTTGTAACAGTGAATTCAAGATAAAACAACAATCAGAAGTGTCTAGCAAGAATTACATGGTATTTTCTCAAGTCTTTAGGAAACCGTTCGTATAATCCTCGCACCACTTCTTTCTTGGTCCTATAATCAACAATAAATACACATTTTTTATATTTTCTACAAGAAGCGCGGCATCAAAAATTGTGTGCTCCTTTTCTACAAATTTTTTAACAGTACAATTTAATGGCACGACATAACTTGAAGCCCATTGCCGCCTAGCTATCCATCACAAATGCCCAACCATTGGTAAGTAGTAACAACAAAAACAACGGTTTGAATCTAACACCATCACACCATATCCCAAATACTAATGACAAGTGTAAGCTTTATATGTCATTTTGCACAACAACTAGTTATGTAACCTAAGCAAACTTAGGTCGACTCCATTTATTTCCTAATCTTTTCACATTAATTGTATATCAGCGTCTCTCCGCCAATTGAAGAATTTTTTTTCCTCCACCGTACAGGCAAAAACAACTAAGCTACATTTTCACAACCTACTTTACATAAGGTGCTACCCTCAATGTTGCTTTAATGGAATCTGCTCTTCATGATTCAATTTTGTCACACATTCATGTTAAATTTTTTATTTTTACCAAACTCGCTTGTTAGTGAATTCTTGTTGAAAAGCACTTATCCACATAGCATATAGAATCTAATAGCGACTTACAAAATCTCTATTTTAGAGTTTGTGTTATTCGCGTAATTTATATGCTTCCAAGGACTTGATATTTCAAACATCCATAACAATAGAAATAAGAATAGGACCAAAATAGTCCCTCAACTCTTTGTGAGAGATCAAAATAGTCCCCAAAAATTTTGAGGGACTAATTTGGTCCCTCAACTCTTTAAAATGGAACATTTTTTGTCCTAACATCCAATGTTGGAGTTAATGATGTTAAATGTAAAAGTATTTTTATCATTTTTTAATTAAACATTTATTAAATATAATTTCAATTATAATTTTTTTAAAAGATTTATTAAACGATTCTTTAATTAAAAAAATAATAATAACTTTAGTTTTAATTTAAAAAATTTAGAAATATAATTGGCAACTAGAACAGTTGGATATCAAAAATGCATTCATATACAGAGACTTAGACGAATAGATATTTATGAAAATTCCATCAAGATTCATGGAAAAAGAGCTGACAATGTGTGTAGGTTAAGAAAAGCTCTATATTGACTAAAATAGTCACATAGAACTTGGTTTGAAAGATTCTCAAAAGTCATACTTCTTAATGGTTATCGTGGAGTCAAGGGGACCATACATTATTCTTTAAACACTCAAACTCAGTGGAAGTCATAATATTATTACTTTATGTGGATAATATAATCTTAACTAAGAATGATGAAAAGGAGAAAGTGATTCTAAGAAAATGTCTTGCTAGGGAATTTGAAATCAAAGAACTTGAAACATTAAAATATTTCCTTGGAATTGAAGTGGCCCACTCCAGCAAAGGCATTTTCATTTCACAACAAAAATACATACATGATCTTCTTAAGGAAATAGGTAAACTATCTTATAAATCAGCACCAACACCAATAGAACCAAATCACAAATTGGAGGAAGCTAAAGAAGATCCAGATGTAGATAAGGAAACTAACTAAAGACTTGTGGGAAAATTGATATATCTTTTACAAATCAGACCAGGTATAGCATTTGTTGTAAGCATGGTCAGACTCAGTCAGTTCGTGTAGAATCCAAAACAGACTCATATGCAAGCTGTAGATAAAATATTATACTATCTTAAGGGGAAATCATGGAAAGGGATTCTTTTCAGAAGAGATTGTGGAATAATCCTAGAAGCACATATTGATGAATATTATGCAGGATCACCAGTAGATAGGTGATCTACCTTAGGATATTATACATTCCTTGGAGGAAACCTTGTTATATGGAGAAGAAATATAATGTAATGGCAAGATCTAGTGCAGAAGCAGAATATAGAGCTATGGCCTTGGGAATGTGTGAGCAACTATGGATCAAAATGATTCTAGAAGACCTAAGGATCAAATGGGAAGGACCCATGAAGTTATATTGTGATAACAAATTAACAATCAACATAGCTCACAGTCCAGTTCAGCATGACAGGACCAAGCACATAGAAATGGACAAACATTTTATAAAAAAATATATCAGACAGTAATCTTATATGTATCTACCATGCTCATCAAAAGATCAGCTTGCAGATATTCTTACCAAGAGACTTGATGACTCTATCTTTTTTAGACTGATTACCAAGCTGGAAATAACATATTTGTATTCTCAAGCGTGAGAGAGAGTGTTAAATCTCAATCATCCCTTGGCAGATTGATCCCATGACTAGGATGGGGATCCCTATGAGGCTCACTGGATCACGTCAATCTCTTTCCATAGTTAGGTGGTTGATTTATGAAAGATTATATTAGGGAAGTAATGCAGGATTCTGTAATTGATTTATTTCTTTATTAGGTATCCTATATAGATCTATAAATAGGGATATATTTGTGCAATAATATAAGTTTTTTTTTCTCTCAAATATCTAAATTCAACAGCAATAATGACCACCACAAAACTCCATAACAATAACAAATTCGATAGATTATGATGATTCAAGATTCAATAAGCATGGAAAGAATAGTAGTTCCAACCTATCTAAATCAAAACATAGAGAGAACCTTAATTCTTCCTTGAATGAATGATGTTCTGTCCTTCACTATAATCCATTGGGCAAGCAAACATGCCAAATATGTAAAAGGAATTTCCGCATCTCCAATTAGCATACTGGGGTTCTTAAATTCATTGATTGTATCATCTTCATCCATTGCATAGACATCCTGCACATGCTCAGCAACATCAGTGGCAATGTTAGATTCAGCATTTAACCTGCTTTCATCGTTATTAGGCCCTTCTGCAATGCTTTCATTGGCATGGGAAAATCCTTCATAGAGATTTCTACCAATATCTTGAGAAATCAGGTCTTCCGTGCTATCTCTTCCTGTTGTACTGGGGTCAACATTTTCCTTAACGTATGGTGTCTCAGTGACAGTAACTGATGTAATTCTAACATCTGCAAGATTCCAGAAATAATTAAAAAAATGCAAAATGATATGTTGCAAATGATAAAACTATACCTAAATGTTAAACTAAGAGTGATATGACATGAACATCATCAAAATAATTTGAGTAGAACAGGCAAATAGGCCTGAAAATGAATCAAGTCAAGCCAAAAACTAAATTGTTCAAATTCGTTGATTTATTTTATTATCGAGCTCGAGTCAAGCTTGAATATGATATGAGTTTAAAATCCTGTTCAAACTTATTTATTAATTTTCTTTTCGGGTTTGAGACAAAATTGAGCTTTAATTAAGCCTAACTAATTATATGTTTGATACTAATAATTTAAGCATATAGCCTAAGTACTAAACATAACTGAACTTATAGGTTTTAATAAAAATTTGGCAAAAACTCATCAATTGTTATTTAAGTTATTTGATAGCATTTAAGTAATAATAATAATAATATTTAAATATATCAATCTAGTTATTTATTTGATATTTTTAATCATACATATACATCTAATAATATAAATATTTTTAAAACAAAAAAACTATAGAAAATTTGAGAAAATAACATAATAAGTCATCAAATCGAAAATTAAGCCATCATTAAATGAGCTTTTTATAGTTTTTTTTTTTTTTAACGAGCTACTTATTAAACAACAAATAAGTATGTCCACGAAAATAATAAACAAGAGAGTCAATGTCCAAATTTGTTCATTTATATGATAAGCTTTTAAAATTTTATTTAAACATGTTCAATTATGTAAATAAACCAACATAACCGAGCATTATATGAACGAGCATCGAGTTGTTCATCGAGTGCACTTACTCACTTATTGGCCTACAAGCAAGCAAAAAGCTACACCTTAGCAGCTTAGCTTCAATGTTAACCCTTCAAGTATAAGGATCACCATTCTATTGAGCCCATATTCAGCTATCTAAATAGTAAGATTGAAAATATATCAGCAAACTTTTTTTTTTCAGTGACTCAAAACCAATGAGGGCTGATCTTACCAAAGAGTTTACATTGATCGGCAGAATTTGATCATGGGCAGGGAATGAAACAATTCTAAAGTTTTCTATGGAGCTTGACCATAAGTTGCCCATAGAATACATTTGTCAAGCAGAAATAGAGGGTTTTAACACATCCTCACATCCTTATGGAGAATTCGACCACAAGCTATCCACAGGAAATTAAGTTGGTCTATTATAATTTAGCACTTTCAACTCATCCTTTTGAACAAGTCAAGAAACACAGAGAGACAAAATAGCCAAGAAAAATTGGCTTCAATGACTAAAATTTAAAAGGTCTATCTTACCCAATAGTTTGGATTGATGGGAAGGGTTCATCCCAAATAAGGGATGAATTAGCTCTTAAGTTATAGAAAGCGAGACCTACGAGAGCATAAGTAATCCATATGTAAATTTGGGTTTTCAGCTGATCATTACAAGAGACTTACACGATGTTCCCCAACAGGCCCAACCCTTAAGTCTCCACCGAGTAAAACACTGCAATATTACCATTTCGTTTTTCTCACAACGTTTAGTGATTTTTTCTCACAATATTTGAAACAATCGAGGATTTTTCCACCGATAAAATATGCCTACTCACAATTCAATCATTAAGATGTTCATTTGAAACCATCACACATCCTCATTTCAGTTTTTCTTTATTGAATAATTTTCTTAGGTTGTCCAAACAACATTACCAAACTCGTGATCTCTTGAGTCAAAATAAAGAGGGAAGTGATGGTGATAATATAAAATATTTTTATAAGCATAACACTAGAAACAAGTTAAATATCTCATTCCACATCCGATTCAAGAATATTATTGATATGCCAGCTATATCTCACAATTTCAACCAAATTGCCAACATCATTAAAACACTAAAGATTCCCAAAATATATATATTTTGCACATATATTATCTCTGTGGCCAAAAAAGGAAGGGAAATCCAAATGCTATAGCCAAATAGTAAAAATAATGGGAAGTAGCACTGGAGAGAAGCAAATGCAGTATTAACAGTGACAACTGAAAACTATTTCTGGAGTAGCATGTAGCATCAATATCGGAAACATTTGGGCAGTGGAAATACTTGATGTTAGTTGGTGGCACAAAACTGTGACAATGAGCGACCCAACAGGGGAGGAGTGAAGGAGCACTCTATAAATGTGATGTTGACCCGTTTATAAAAAAAATCAAATCAAAAAAATCAAAATCAAAATCCCTACCTACTCGCTGCCAACCCACGTCGCTCCCCACGTCGAGCTGTTCATCGCACGTCGAAGCCACGACCGATGTCGTTTCTCCCCACGTCGCGGCAGTTCGCACGACTTGGCGTCGTTAAAACCCAACGAAAAAGAGGCCTTCGGCCTCCTACTGCCAATCCCTCTTCCCCGCGAATACTCCATCTCTCCTGACTCTCTCTCTTGATCTCCCACACCTTCGACGACTTTTCCTTCTATCGGATCGGGAGCAAGATCGGGAGCTCGCCTGTGAAGGTAATTCTCTCCCCGTCGAGCACTCCTCCGGCTCCTTCTGACTGTTCGACCCCGCTCCATTGGCGACGTTTCCTTCGAGTCGAATCGGAAGTTACGGCAATTTGATCGGAGCAACAACAGACGCTCGCTCACTGTAGAAAATAACTTTCTCCCTTGCGTGCGACTTCTCCGACACCTTCGTGGCTGGACGACTTCGTTCCGACGACGACTTACCCTTTCAGTCGGATCGGAAGTTACGACAGCTTGATCTGAAGCAAGACAGGGGCTCGCCGGCTGTCAGGTGCTTCCCCGCCTCCTTCGTAGCTGTTCGACTTCACTCGCTCGTCCGACGCCGTCCCCTTCTGGCCGGACCGGAAGTTACGACATTTTGATCGGGAGCTTAAACGGGAGCTCGCTGCCATAGAAGGTAACTTTCTCCCTTGACACGCCTTTGCTCGGCCAAATCCCGCAGGTCTGCCTAACCAGAGAGGCAAAGAGAGGGAGAGTTTATTAATGTTAATGAAAATAAATTTTAGTTTATTTTAATTATAATTATTTTAAACTAATTATAATTATTACAATTAATTATAGTTCATTTTAATTAAATTGTTTTAGTTAATTTTAATTAATTATATTTAAACTTTAATTAAAGTTAAATATAATTAATCATTTTAATTAATTATAACAATTTAATTATTATATTTAATTATAATTAATTGTAATTAAATATAATTAATAAAAGATAATGCTAGTGCCAATAATCATCCGATCGAGGACAGACATACATGTTCTTTGCAACCAGAAGGTAGTTGATTAGCAGACTAAGTACAACTGTCTACGAATGTGAAATGACCTCAATGCATGAAATCCTATGACAATGCCTACACACACCCGAAATCACTCTCCAACACTAGCAACTATGCCTGTTGATTGAGAAGGCAATATGGGAGACCAATAATGGAAGGACCGTCCCCTACAAGCAAGTGCAATCATCAAACCACCTGAGATTGGTGAAAGGTGGATGTGACGCAAGAAACGAGGGTCTCCTACGAACATTCCTAGGAGTTCGTAGCAAACACTACGGATCCTTACAAAAAAATACGAGCCACTTGTGGATAACAACAGTGTGGCTCTGGCCATTAACCGGTATGTTCGTGCGTGCCATTTGGCGGCAAAAACCATTCGCGTTCAGAGGCGCCCCGTGGGTCGTCATAACCGCTTATCCTGCATGGTGCCATTTGGCGGCAACTGCCGTTTACGCAGGAACACGTACCACGTCTCTACTGGCATGAGAGATGATTTGAGAAATGCAATACCTAGCTGATATTTTCGACTAGAGCATTTGCGCCTCTTTGTGAGCTATAGAGTTTATCTTTGAATTTGTCCACCCCGGCAGACTGTTGCGGGCGCAGGGTAAGATGGATTTTGCTTTAAGTGCTTGAATGGTTTAATTCAGTTTTTTAAAGTATCTTGGAATTTGTGTATGCGAATTTGGAAATTTGGATTTATTGGGACCTTGGGAAACTGCATTTAAAAATGCCTGAAATTGACCCCTCCGGTATTGAGATCTTTCAATCAACGTTGGACCTATCTCGGAGGTGACCTCGGAGGTTGCTTGAAAAAATATCTGCAATTTTGTTAGAAGTTTAGAGGAGATCATCTTTTGAAAAATATTTTTGTTGGACCCTTCGGTTGATGCATAAGCTAATCAACTATCGGCCATCAACGGGCCGGTGACCTATGAAGCGTCATTTCCATTTGATTGAACCTTGTCGACCCTGTCTAACTTAAACGATAGGGGGACTGTGGTTTCTCGTAGGCCTTTATGCCTTTTGTTTCATTGAATGTTTCTTTGATTTTAGGGCCTTGAAGCCGCCGATAATGAATGCCATTAAAAATAAAACATTGCCGATTCACATTCCATGACCGTTATATTTTATCCTGAGAATTTGCAACCCTGTCCTACTTCCTATTTCACCTGCTTAGGAGGATCGGGTTTCGTATGCGTTTGTGCCTTTGCTTTATGAATTGTTCTTTGTTTGAAGGCCTTAAAGGCCCGAATATGAAGTTGTAGACGGCCTTCTGTTCTGCTTGCATGAGTGTTGCCAGATCCTGTGGCGCTGGCGTTTTGATGTTTTGGACTCCCCTTTCTCATTCACCGCGGGAAGTTTTCTGGCGATTTTGGAGTCAAAGACTGTTGATTGGAAAAAAGAACTCCCTTTTAGGTAGTAATTCTATATAGTGGACTTGCTATTTTCTGCGTGTTTGTGGGCACCCGAACTGTTCTCTTTCTTAATTATAGAAACCAAAAAAAGAGACTTTGAACAACCAGGAAGTTTTGGTTCTAATTTTGTTCAGACTTTTCCCCCCTTTTCTGCCACGCGGGGATGTGTACTTTTTGCTATATCGGAATCACTCTTATACTCCGACATGCTTGGAGATTTTGAGTCACCGCTGTCGTAAGGGTGATATCTGTTACTTTGTGTCACACAGTGAATTCGCTGTTTCTTTCAAATACACTGTTG